TGGTAGCCAATTTATTCATAATCTGATCAACAAAACTATTGACATAGTGCCTCAGCTCCCGATAACCTTCGTATACTTACTTGTTTCAGATGAAGACGACAATCCAGTAGACGACACAGCGATGGCTGCACGTTCAGCGTCCGGACCTGGACTACAACGACGACGAGGTAAGCCATTTGACTGAATTCTTCTTGTGCTCCGCTACTTTCATTTCTACTAAATGGTAGGTCTTGATACTGCCGCTTTACAATCTTTTCTTGACCCATTCGACACTCTTTTTTGGGCTAATTCTGTGATCCCTCCGAATCCTAAGCTGATTTAATACAGTCATGTGGTTCAAAGGCATTTCACGATCATCCGTTAGGGACATGCCTTCTCTTGATGGCTCCGCAAACTCAGGGGCTATGTCAGAAAGAGATGGGAAGGGCTTACGTTGCTGAAAAAATAGTATTTGATTCCATAGGGGAACTCATCATGGGATATTTACATTGGTGAGGAAAACAAGTAGGGGTGAGTCACGGGTACTGTATGTGAGGCTGTTGGCAGTAGGAAATCCCTTGCTCCAATGAAAAATCTTGTTAGCGGTAGAGCAACTCCGAACTCGTCACAGCATTTGTCGCAGGGTTCGAGTGGTGTGGGCAGCGAGACCTTATCGGCCCACTTCGGAATCGCCCGTCTACCAAAATGAGGCCGCCCACTAGGTCCAATTTTGTCCATTTCTTGCTCAATGCTATGAATATTCACATCGTCTAGTCCATAGGTACCCCTTAGGATCCTCCTTACCCTAATCTCTGCGAGCAATCAATCTTACAGCGTCAACCAACGTTGCAGGCCCAGGTCCATGACAACCCCTAAAATACAAGCTCTCTGGCAAACCTCAAAAGCGGAGTAATGTTTTCAAATTGAATCATTGGTTTAAGCTGTTTGACCACTCACTTCTCAACGCTTTTCTCAAGGCAGCTGAATGATGCAATGCCATCGGCAATATAAAATAAATATATAATATATAATATTAGATATCCATTGAAGGTCCAACTGACCGTCGTTAGAGCCGTAAAAGAAAATGTTCGAATAATTACCGTTCAACACTGTCACAGCACCATTGTGTCTCAATGTGCTATCTCAGAATGTGGTCTTGGCGGTATCCAGACATTATGAGCAGAATTGAAATCACCCGAAACATTCCGGCGCGCCTTCAATTATGCCTGAGTCCATTGATTGATTTCGTGGCCCATCAGTTCGTCGCGATCCTTTTTCGTGACAGGCCGACATTTTGTCGTATGTCCGATTTTAATGTTGTTCAGTACTCTGGTCTTGTTTTACTTATCTGTGCAGTAAGTCCATCATTGGCTTCTATCTTACCGCATTACATCTCACGAACGCGCCGTTCAGTTGACACTAACTATTTCTGCAAGGTTATTATCTTCGACGTATTTTGACAATCAGATCTGGAAACCAGACGCGTCTAAAGCTGTACGAGCGCCTGGTCAACACTAGGCTGAGGGAACTTGTCCCTATCTCGCAGGAACAGTTCGGCTTCATGCCCGAGAGGTCCACCACCGATGCCATCTTCATCGCCAGACAGCTGATGGAGAGTAGTACGCATGAGAAGCGCGCCGACCCTTGTGCTGAACCCTAGCCTTGCCTTTGGTGACCCTGATAAGCATTTCGACCGCCTGCAGAGGCCTGCTACTTCTGGAGATGCGCTCAGAGAACGGCGCTAACGTTCACGGAACACCTTCAGTCCTTCCATAGTGCAAGGTACATGGCTACGATGGCGTCTAGAGCAGCTGCTGTACGCACCCTCACGCTTGAAGAGGTGAACATTACGGTTGGGGTACACCAAGGGTCAGCCCTCAGCCCGTTCCTCTTCCTCCTGACTCTAGATGTCATGGCAAAAGAACTCATGGAGGGACCGCTTGAAAGCCATCCTCTATGCTGACGACATCGCCCTGATAGCGGACAGCAGGGAGGAACTTCAGGACAAAGTGCAGCGGTGGCAGGATGTGCTCGCTGCGAATGGACTCCGGCTGAACGTAAAGAAGACCAAGTTCCTAAGCTCCGAAGAGTGCGCCGAAGTCATCGTAGATCGCCATGGCGAGAACATCGAAAGGGTCGAGGATTTCCAGTACCTGGGGAGCAACTAGCACAGTGGCCACGTGGACCAGGCGGTGAATGGCCCGATAATCACGCAGCCTGGATGAAATGGAGGGAGTCCACTGGCATCCTGTGCGACCGGCGGTGCTCGAGAACGCTCAAGGGCAAGGTGTACCGGGCTGTGATAAGGCCTACAATGCTCTACGGCAGCGAGTGCTGGCCTATCTGCAAGAACCATGAAAGGCAGCTCCACTCAGCTGAAATGAGGATGCTGAGATGGGCCTGCGGCTGGACACGACTCGACAGAGTCAGAAACGAGGACGTCAGAGCGGTCACAACAGACGGCTCCTATCCAGCTGAAGGCACGAGAGCAGCGACTGCGATGGTACGGTCATGTACTGAGGAGGGCCGAAGACCACCCAATAAGGAAGGCATTGGAACTCGAGGTAGAGGGCAAGCGACCACGAGGAGCCCCAAAGAAAAGATGGAGGGACGTCATCAAGAGGGACCTCACTGAAGTGAAAGCCACAGCAGAAGATGCAGTGGATCGGAACAAGTGGCGACGTCTAACAAGATCAGCGGACCCTGCGACGGCGCGGGACTAACGCTAGGGAGAAGAAGAAGAAGAGAATCTGAAACCATCGCTAGGTAACTCAGTGAACGAAGGATTGGTTCCTGTTACCCTTTCCTCCACACAGTCCTTATTTTTCGTGACAAACCTGTACTGCCCAGGGCACATCATTGGTTGGGGATTTTAGTCGAGTCCGTACGACCCCCCCCCCTCCGGCCCTCTGTCTCTCCTCATCGAATCGGCCGTCGAGCGGGAGGCGTGGACGGAGATACATAGTACACATGAAACAGGGAAATCACTGAAAGTCAGCCCCCCCTTACGTCTGCGAAGCAGAAAAATCAACTAGATGAGTTCCTCTCGGCCCAAATACGACCCCCCCCCCTCTAGTGGCGGCCAAATACGATCCCCTGTTGAGGAATTCCCAACACGATGTGCCCTGCTACCGCCACTTCTATCACAGTTCCGCTTTCAGTAATCGCTCGTGTAGACTGACCTAAACCACAGCGCTATGTTCACATTGATGGCCCTGCTACTACTCTGCTGTTTTTTTTCTGTGCAATTAAGCGCGTAACCGCTAAAACGAATTAGGAATGGCAGCCTGGCGCACTGGATGGAGGTGATGGCGATTTGTTCTGTTCGTTTCACTAGTCGACAGAGAAAATGATGGTCCTAATTAAAAGTATCTCATAAGCACTCTCACCTCCGCTAGTGCGCTACAGTAAGGGTCAGGAGAGCCTCGCGCCCCGACGGAGGAGGTGGCTACTGCAAGAGACCACTTGGAAAAAAACGTCACCGCTCCAGTGATTTGTACCTCACGGGGGAAGGGGAGCCTCTATCGAAAATTACGTCTAATCGTCTGCACCTCTCACCGAGACAGCGCGACATGCTCTCGTAGGGTCTGGTCGGTTTCAGGACACGGACCTTCCCATTGCATCCTTCTCCCTTAACTTCATGACTTTGTGTGTCAGAACGGAAAGGCTGTACCTCACTGGTGGTGGTCCCTGGCAGCACTCTGCTTTTTGATGAGATGCAACCGGAAAGGGGGGAACAACGGCATATGGGCATCCATCATCTTTACGGTTTAGTGCCAGTAAAGTGCGATAAATTCAAACCCGATTAGCCTACTGCGGACCGTACCTTATGCAGGACGCGGCTAGCACGAGGCGTATGCTCGATTTCTTAGGCAATTCCTCAAGATCCAATGCTGCGGAACTACCTTTCCGCGATTCCACGGCGCGCAACACTTGGGCAGTCATCCCGTTCATGGTTGCGCGCTCGCGACGGAACCATAAACGCCTAAAAATTCACGAAAGCCGTTTTTCGCCATTCTTTTTACATTTTTCCCTTCTACAAGTTTTATCTAAGTTTCGGTAAATGAACTAGCTTTCTTGCCCTTTTTGATGTTCACTGGTACCGCACAAAGAGGATGTAGACTTTGATTCTTGTGGAAGTTCTTAGTTCCTCTTGTAAAAACCACTACTGCCTCACCTGGTTCCAAAAAATACACGAGAAATGTTTTAGTATTACTTGTATATTATTTGTTTTATGATTTGTTCATAATTGCCAGTGAAAAGAAGAAAAAAAAATCATCAAAAAACGAGCGAAGAGGCGCGTGTACTCCCAAGAATGCACGATTCGCCTAAAGAGGAAAGTTTTTGAGTATTTTTTCAGGTATACACGCCTCTTCTAATGTGTGGATATTATTTCTCTATTGTTTTATTATTATTTATTTCCAATTGTTAGTGGGAAAAGAAAATAAACTACAAAAAACCAGAGATTAGGCGCGTGTACTCCCGGGAGTACACAAATTCGACCCGGGCAAAGCGGGGGGGAAAGTTTTTGTTCGTGTCACTCCTGGAGAGTAAGCACCGCGCGCCCACGGACACGCCCGTGTTAATTGCTATTGAGTAGTGAAAAAAGATTAGAAATGGGTGGAGATATACGTCTAGCAGCATACGTCCAGCAGCAGTCGGTGATGGCTCAACCTGTTACGGATCGCCGCTATACGTGTACAGTCTTGATGAAGTACAATTGATGGAAAACGTGGCTCTGCGCCAAACCCAGCCCCCTGACACGCCCCAGCATCCGCAGCGAACGAGGCTGTATCTCTTCGCTATTTCGCACTCGCTGAATCTTTGATCTAAATCTCTTCCGTATTAGGCCTACATCAGTAACGAGTCTTGAAACAGTTATTGCATATAGAAAATCTGATTGTTCGAAGTCGCAGCCATAATGCACTTATTTCGTACTATTCAGGGGACTGAACAAGCAAGGCTATCAATGTCAGTTGTGTTCGACGGCCGTGCACAAAAAATGCCACGAGAAGATCATCATGCACTGTCCGGGCTCGGCGAAAAATACGAAGGAGACCATAGTGAGTGAACGATCATCCACTTTCAAACCAGTTGATATCCTCATGCGTCAGAAATCCGGCTTATCTCCTCGGTGACGATGTTGTGAGGCTAGCTTCTAGTAGATTCTAGCAAGCTTATCCCTCCCTTGTTTCAGGCGCTAAAGGAGCGATTCAAAGTAGACATTCCCCATCGCTTCAAAACCTACAACTTTAAAAGTCCAACGTTTTGCGACCATTGTGGTTCGATGCTTTATGGTCTATTCAAACAAGGGTTGCGATGTGAAGGTACGAATATTGTCTTTTCTAGAAAACATTTGGCATTATTTACCTTACTTATTACTTATTTAGCCCACCTTTCCAATCCAGTCACATTCTTTATCGAGATTTCTCCGCAATGATAGCTTTAGCCGAAACTTTGGCAATCTGACCACGCGAATACAATTATCGCATCCAATTTAAGCGAAAATGTTTGGCGCACGTGTGTTCACGGGATCAAACCAGCCTTTCGGACAAGTCTTCAACAAATCCGACCGCTGGATCACCGACGGGGGAGGGATTCCTAGGGAAACGAGCTCCCGTAAAGTAACTATCGATATGTGATCTGAAGTTTCAAAAAGCGTAGTAGTATAGGATAAATTTTTCTTAATTCTTGAAAATTATTCTCGGAAATAACACGATGATCACAAGTTCGGCTGTTTTTCCATATGTACCGTCTTTTGAAACTCCGGAGCAAACGTTGGTGGGGAAGAGGGAAAGGGAGTCAGGGGCGTTGGGAAACCTCCAGCGGAGAAGTCATTGGTTGCTAGAGGAAAGGGGGGAGGAAGGGGAGGGGGGGGGTGACGGCTTGTAACTTGCTCTAGGATGCTTATTCTTTCTGTTGACAATTTTTCGCGGTTTTTTTAGAGTTTCAACCCGTGCTATCTACCCCATCCCCAGTGAAATTGTGAGATTTCGTGGAGAACTGGAAACTTTCTAGGGAATTTCGGAAAAAGTGGTAAGAAGTAGGAGAAAGGTGGTTGGCAGAATGAGAAAGGGGGTTGTACCCGAAGACAAAATCAGGGAGGGGTTGCAGTTCGCAAAATTTTCTTCACCGACGAGACGTGCCCTGGGGTTAATGCATCTACACGTCATGTCATGGTCATAGTATGACACGTCATGTCTTCTTGTCTGCGCCCTCTCAACAGAGAAGCATATACCTATTCCTAGATATCAAAAGGCATGGTAGGACAAGACAATAGGACGTGCAATAGTCGCGTTGCCACCCGCCCACACCATCCATCTCTTCCCGCCAACTAGCGCTGTCATTGAATCTCATTCTTAGTTGCCAAATGGTAGGGGGGGGCGTAAAAAGAGAGACGTGAAAAGGAAAAGCAGTAGGTGAAGAATATGCAATATTCAATTTTTTAGTGTGCAATGTGAACTGTCATCACAAGTGCGAGAAGCTGATGTCCAATCTATGTGGAGTGAATCAGAAGCAATTGTCGGAGGCACTCTATGAGATCAAAAGAGGAACAGCAGCCAGTTCTAGGTTCGTGATTGGTTGCTACTAAACGTTGTCTCCAGTACGACAAGAAAAATGGTCCTTTTGTTACAGTTGTCCACCTGCCATTGGCAATTTACATCTGGGTAATGGAGATTCAAAACATGCGAATGGAAGTCTACCGAATAAGTTGAAGAATTTCTTCAAAGCACAGCAGTATAGTGTAGAAAACCATGCTGAGAATGACGAGTACGTTCGTTACAGTATCTGCAAGGGTAACGTCCACAACTCAAAATCCTTCTTCAGGTATATGAACAATATCTGGACAGGCGGTGAAGGCCCGGTGAAGAAATTCGGTTTACAGCATTTCACTCTGATGAAAGTGCTTGGAAAAGGCAGTTTTGGCAAGGTCGGTATTTGACAAGTCTATCTGGCTGTAAGTAAAAAAAATCAGTTGGCTAGTTCTAATGAAATACCGTTACAGGTGATGTTGGTAGAACTGAAGGGTAAAAACGAGTTCTATGCAATGAAATGTCTGAAAAAAGACGTAATCCTGGAGGACGACGACACAGAATGCACGTATATCGAGCGACGGGTTCTTATTCTGGCCAGTCAATGTCCATTCCTCTGCCAACTGTTCTGCTCCTTCCAGACCAACGTGAGTCTTTTAAAAGGAGCATCCGCTTCAGCACTGTATCAAAGCGGGTGTGATGATCAGCTATGAAGAGTCCAAGCTGGGGAGCGCTGTGAGATGATCCAACTTAGGAATAGTCACCATTTCTTGTGTTCATCCATTTCCAGGCTCTGGGGTTTTGTTCGCATTCCGGGAGAAATTATCGAACAGTGTCTCTTCAGGATTTCTAACCTACCAATAGCCCGCGCGGCAATTTTGCTATTCCTGATTGTTGGTCGGAGGTGCCACCCCTCCCCTCCTCCCGCTCGACGGCAAATTTCGGAAAATCAGGTAGAATGTGGG